GACTGTATTTTTTCTACATAACCTCCCCCCCTGAATTTAAAGCTGGATCCGCCCCTGTAGATACGATCGAGTCCCCAAAACGTTTTCGAAATAAAATCGCTGTGAAAGGCTGTATTATAAATCGGTAAGGTGATATGATGATCAGCCGATTACACGCACAATGCCACTATTTCTTGGTCCATTAGAAATGCGGCGGCAAGCGGTCATCTGGTTTATGTAAAGTCGAGATCAAATAGCCCCCTCACACGCTGTGCCGGCCTCAAAGCAGGGGCGTAGCACGGAAAAGGAATGGGGAAACATTCGCTCCACATTTACTTGCAATTGGCGAACCATTTGGGCGAAATTTTTGGGAGAATGTGCGGGAGTGTTCGGCATAAGATGAAGGAACAATTCTTGATCGAGCCATGCTGTACAAATTGGGCGGAATGGAAATTTTTGAGCCCCAGCCCATGAGCCGTCCCTGATGGAACTAACAAGTTGGCGCCACTAAACAGGGACCAGGAATCCTCCCGGCATTTTACGGGACCATGTAAACAGTGCATGTGTCAAATTCCGGACGTTCTTATTCCGTGTGAAATTTATGGCTGGCGCCATCCAGTTGTCATATTATGCTGTTACGCTATTAAGATAAGAGCGCAGATTGCTGATATCTGGATTAGTGGAAAGTGCAATTTATGTGCGTCTTTCCAGATGGGCCCTATCGGGGGCGGAAGACCAAACTAACCGGTTCTTTGGGGCATAAAGTTTTCCTTGCCACAAGAGCCTTCTGGACACGGGCGGGTCCAGCTATCAAGTCAGGACAGGCTTGAATTCAACTATTCACGGATTTTGTCCTTAATTCTAACCGATTGTTATCGACAGTGTTGACTATGTACATATTTGAATTGTAATTGGAATATTGTCACCACACTAAGAGCCTGATTGAAAATGTTCGATTGATTTTAGAAATGAGCCTCTTTCGAGAAATTTTGCTGCATTTTTTACGTACATGCACACAGAGAAAGACGCTTAGAGCAAAAACGCAATTTAAAAAAGGAACATCTGTACGCAAAAAATTATGTTTTTCCAAAAATTTGCGCAAAATGCGCTGGAAACTTTTTCACTGAGAATATGCCAGAACGCTCATTTGTTCATCATTCTAGAGAGAAGTAAATGGCCTTTTTAGAAAGTGAACCATCGATAAGGAAATGCTGGCAGTTTTCTCAAAAAATGCTTGAATTCGAGAAGTTTTAGATTTGCGTTGTTTTTTTTTCAGTTGCAAAATCCACTTGAACACAACGCTGCTTTTTTCGAAGTTTCTCAAGAACAATTCGAGCCACAGAATTTGTTTGGGCATCGTTGGATAGAGAATTGAAAAGTCGATTCAGTCGTAACAACGTGAGTGAGGAAATTCGAGTAGTTTTGACACAGCAAGCGAAATTTGAATATCAGACACTTAGGTGCAAGATTATGCCAAAATTTCATGTTTTTCGCCTCATTTTTGCTCATTTTTCGGAGGCAAAATGAGCAAGAACGCTCATGTGTAAATCATTCTAAACAGGAATAAATGGCCTTTTTAGAAAGTGAACCATGGATGGGGAAGTGTTGGCAGTTTTCTCAAAAAAGGCTTGAATTCAAGAAGTTTTACATTTGCGTGTTTTTCTTTGAGTTGCAAAATCCACTTAAACATGACGCTGCTTTTTTCAAAGTTTCTCAGGAACCGTTCGAGCCACAGAATTCGTTTTGGCATCGTTGGATAGAGAATTGAAAAGTCGATCCAGTCGAAACAACGTGAGTGAGGAAATTCGAGTAGTTTTGACCCAAAAAGCGAAATTTGAATATCAGACACTTCGGTGCAAGATCATGCCAAAATTCCATGTTTCCCGTCCCGTTTTTGCTCATTTCTCGGAGGCAAAACGAGCAAGAACGCTCACTTATACATCATTCTAGAGAGAAATAAACGGCCTTTTTAGAAAGTGAACCATCGATAAGGAAATGTTGCAGTTTCCTCAAAAAATGCTTGAATTCAAGAAGTTTTAGATTTGCCTGGTTTTTTTGGAGTTGCAAAATCCACTTGAACATGACGCTGATTTTTTCCAAGTTTCTCAAGAACCATTCTAGCCAGAGAATTCGTTTTGGCATCGTTGGATAGAGAATTGAATAGGTCATGACCCTCATGACCCCCCCCTGGGTCCGCCCTAGGCTGAAATGTTCATAAACCTCAACTTTTCCAACTAATATTCATTTTTCAAACACTTTTTGAA